TACCAGGAAGCATACCGATTTTAAAGCTGTATTGAACATTCTCTCATGCTAGCTCCCCTGGGAGATGTGCGCAATTACATTGATACATTGACTATAGTGAAGTAAAATAGGAATGTTCTCCTGCTGAAAAATGAATTGGTTTCTCATTCTGGAAAGCGTGGTAAGAATTCACATCAAGCAGCTTTGAAACATCCATACCTTTGACCTATTTCTTCTCCTCCCCAGGAAGTAATCAAAGGCTCAGACAAGGCACTTAGATTTTAATTAAAGCATTGTTTGCCAATGTGACAAATTGGACACAACTATCCTTACTGTAATAGGGTGTTCCAATAACTTGTGGAGTTTTCTTTAATAATTAATGCTAATTTTGAAGAAAATTGGATACCATGGACTTAGGCTTATGACACGCTCTTAGAAACAGCACAATCACACTGGTTATTAGTTGATTTTCCTTTTATTCCTCCTACCTTAAACATGAGGTATGGGGAGTCAGACCCTGATCTTCTGAGGTTGTTGAGACGGTCAATGGGAATAGGTCAGTGGGTTTCCTTCCAGTCTGCTCCATGCTTATACAAGCACACACATGCATATATTATAGTGCTCTCGTGGAGTCTCACGCTGAACTTGGAGCTCACCAACTAGGCTAGACTGACTGGTCACCAGGCCCTCAGGTGTCACCCTGTCCATCTGCTGTCTCCCCAGCACTGGAATTATAGTCATTCGACACTACACACAGCTCTTACACCAGTGCTGGGGTCAAACAGCTTCTTGTGGTGCACAGCAAGTACTTTCCTGACTGATCCATTCCTTCAGCCTCATAAATTGATGTGATCTTGCAAGATTCTTGTTTAACATCTTGTATACTCAAGCCATCAATCATGTATTCAGAAAAGAAATTGGCACATGCATATGTAGTACAGGGTCTTTTTCAAGTAAAAGGTATGTTCCTCAAATGTTTTTAGTAAGATGTGTGTTAAGAGTTTGTACATGGATCTCGGTGGAAGGACAGCCAGAGTCCTGGCATGCAGCGTGTGGCCGCAGGCCTGGCAGGCACCATTATGATAAGCAAGTGCGTGGTGGAAAGATGGAAGAGAAAAAGAGATGGAGCTGTTCATGTGCTGTGGAGAGAGACGGAAGTGGAGTCATGACAGTGGTGAGGAGCAGGCTGATGTGAGTGGTCCACAGAGCCACCTGAGGCCACATGATGTCCTGGCCCACACTGCCTCTGAGGTCCATGTCTGGGTCTATTTTTATGTTCATGACCCTTGTTATCACCAAGAGCCATGAGGATTTCAATAGTCTGGGCAGCTGTCAGGGGCCATGATGGTGTCCAAGGGTCATGGTGATGTTCAGGCCCATGCTGCAGCTGTGGGCCCTGTCTGAGTCTGTGGTCTTACCACAGCCAGGGTCTGTGTTGATGTCCGTGACCCATATTACCATCAAAAGCCGTGAGATGCCTGTGGTCTGGACTGCCGCGTGAAGCCATGTTGATGTCCAAGGGCAGTGCTGATTTGGCCCTGCCTCTCACCAGTGGTGGGAGAGTCACCAACCACCAAAGGGCAGCAAAGCAATGGGCGCAAGAAAGTAGGCCACGCCACTCTCGAACCACCTCACTTGGGAGAACTGGCTCCGCCCCCTCAATGCCCACCACACAGTGATAGTGTGGGTGTGAGAGAGCCAGCCCTGGTGGCATGAAAAGAGGGGGAGCTGGCGGTGGCATGGGCATAGGAGAGCTGGCAGAACCGTAACCACAGGATCTCCTTGACTCAGGGCAACAGCAGGATATCTGAGAGGAGTCTCAGTGAGGGTCCACTATTGATGGTGTAGCAGAAGCCAGAGGCCTTGAACCAGACCAAGACTCATTACAGTGAACATTTTCGAGCAAAGCTGTTTGGGACAGGGTATACTGCGTGTCACACTGCAGCTCCCAATGCTGTACCATGAAAAGATGTGATGGCGAGGTGGGAAAGGAGGAGTGGAGTGGCATGCACATTGGAACTGAAGAGGAGACAGCTGTTACAGGTGTGAGGAACACTGAGGAAAACAGAGAGCAGGTCGCTGCCCAGAGGGGTTGGCAAGATGTTTTTGTCTTGTTTTTCTTTAATTTTAATTTTTAAAAATTTCCTTTTGTGGCAGTGGGGAGGTTACAAGAGTAGAGGGAAGACATGGAAGGACCAGAAAATGAGCGGGGATCGGCGTACATGATATGAAATTCCCAAAGAATCAATAAAAAATTATGGAAAAAAGTTTGTACATGATGGATTTCTTGCTTAACATTGTTTTTTTAAATTTATTTTTTTATCTTCTAATCCCAGTTCCCCCTCCCTCCTCTCTTCCTGACCCCCTATAAATCCCCCTTCCCACCTTCCATCTGCTCCTTGGAGAGGGCAAAGCCTCCGGTAGAAAGTTTAAGTCTGTCCCATCATCTAGTTGAGGCAGGACCAAGGCACCCCCACCCCATCCCCATCCCCATCCCACCCCCACCCAGTTGTCTAGGCTGAGCAGGATATCTCTCCATATAGAATGGGCTCCACTAAGTCAGTTTGTACATTAGTGTTAGATCTTGGACTCACTGCCAGTGGCCTCATATATTGTCCCAGTCACACCATTGTCACCCATATTAAGGGAGTCTAGTTTGGTCTTATGCAGGTTCCCCATTTGTCAGACCAGAGTCAGTGATTTGGTTTAACATTTTTAACTGAAATTGTGCAGGTCACTGAACTCCGAAACATTTTTATCTACACTTTCCTCCATATTATTGTTCTCTCTAAATATTAAGTGTACATATTTAAAAATAACTATTTCTTTGTCTTTTTCAGTGAGTAGAATATAGGATGGAACATGAAGGTGGCATGGACAGAGGCTCTTAAACTTTCTTGATTCATAGCTCACTTGAAACCTTAGTAAAAGTTCATTTTTGTGGCCCTATAACTTAACAGTAACAGTTATCAATTGGAAAAGTACATGTTTGCTAATTATGTGATAAGATGGAGGTGTCAGGCACCAGACAGCTTTACATACTTTGTGATAAGACTGAACACCACCACCCTCATTTCTTGCTCACAGTTTGTCTTAGTTGGGGTTTCTATTGCTGTCATATAATACTGTGATATAAACAACTTGGGAGGAAAAGGCTTATGTCACCTTAAAATTCTCAGGTCGTACTTCATCACAATTCTCAGGCTATACTCAGTCACCGAGGGAAGTCAGGGCAGGAACCTGGAGGTAGGAACTGGAGCAGAGACCATGGGTGGATGCTGTTTACTGACTTGCTCCTCCTGACTTGTTCAGTTTGCTTTCTTACACAACTCAGGGTTGCCTACCCAGGGTTGGCAGAAACTACAGTGAGCTGGGCATTGACCAAGAAAATGCCCTACAGGTATAGCCATGTAGGGGTGTTTTCTCAATTGAAGCTCCCTCTTTGAAATGACATTAGCTTGTTTTATGGTGATGTAACCTAGCCATCACTCAATTTCATTTGAATGCAATGTTTGCTGTCTATCAGGGCAGTCACTGGAAACTGAGTTTCACAGAAGAGTAATATAACTGAATTGAACTGAGTGGTAAGAGGATGGAGGTAGAGACTGCAAACTCCTAGTTTGTGGCACCCAATAGGTGTTAGTGTGGCTGTGCTTATATGAACCAAAAAATATCTTCTGGAATGCCTACAAATATTTTATCATTTTGCTAAGTTTTGTGCATTATTTGGGAGCTATTGCTTCAGATTTCAGTTGCTAGGGGTTTTGCTTTAGGAACATTACAGGCTGTATTCTATGCAATTCCCTTTCAATATTTAATTGCTATGTTTTTGCAAGCATTTTAAGAGAGAAACCTGGTCATACCCTTCCTTTTTAACATTAAGTTGTGAAGCAATGAAAAATTGGGAGTTTACAAAAGTAGCATTTAGACAAACTCAAGGCACTGTGCTAAATGGATTCTGAAAAGACCATGGTCTTTGATTCTGAGATCAACATTGTTTTACACTTCAGTGTTTTAAAACACCAGTATTGGGAATTTGTGTGCACTTTATACCATTGTTCTCTTTGCAAGATGCAAAGTACTAAGGGCTAGAGATGATGACAACTGGGCAGTGTTGGACAGTTCTTTTGGCAGGAGATGGAGGCCCCTGACTTCCCACAGGGAGGTCTGCCTTACTTTGGGAATGGATAAATTCAAACGCCAGAAACTGGTTCTGTCTCACTCTAAGCTTAGAGTTGTATAAATCAAAATAGTAACAGTTGACAGCTGCTATTTTAGGTCCTTTTAAGAAACTTTTAACTTTTTATTGATTGTTTGTGAATTTCACATCATGTATCCCAATCCCACTCATCTCTCCATCCCTTCACATCTGCCCTCTGCCCTTGCAATCTCCCCCAAAAGAATAAAGTAAAATTTAAAAAAAGTAAAATTAAAGAAAAGAATCTCTCATTGTGGGAGCTGTAGTGTGACACAGTGAATCATACAATATACCTTTCAGTTCATACATCTTTACTTGCAAGTGTTCATTGCAATGAGTATTGGTCTGGTCGGAGGTCTCTGGTTTTTACTTCACTATCAAAACTGGGTCCTCACTGGGACTCCTCTTGGATATCCTGTTGTTGTCCTGTGTCATGGAGGTTCTGCAGCTTTGAATCTGTCATATCATAGATGAGGTGGGTGTTGGGGCTAACTCATAGCCCTGACTATGGGCTTGGGTAGTAGCTTTCCCTCATCTTTACCACCAGGGTGAGCTTTCCAGCACTGCTCCAGCTAGCTGACACAATGTAGCAGGCAGCAAGGAGCTGGGCAGTTTCTCCTGCTGGGCCTGTTCTCCTCTAACACCAACATGGCCCTATGTGGCAGCCCAGATTCCAGGTATCCACATAGCCCTCAATAGCAACAGGAGCCTTGGGTTTCAATGCAGACCACATAGGCAGTGGTCTGGGCAGTGCCACAGACCCAGATATGGCTCCAGCTGCAGTTTGGCTATGGCTCTCACCATGGCCCTGGGTGTCTCATAGGCCACCTAGATCTGTATGGCCCTGGAAGAATCTTGGGTCTCAAATATCAACATGACTTTAGGTTTCAGCTCACACTAGGGGCTGCACAGCCCTTGGTGGCAACAGTAGCCACAGAGATTAACATAGAGTCCGACAGCATCAGGGCCATGTTTCATAGTCCCAGACATGGCTCTTGGCAGCAGTCTGGGCCCAGAAGTCACTATGGTTCTGGGTGGCAGCATAGGCCTCTTAGATTGGCATTGCCCTCTGGGGGCACATCACTCGGACACATGGTCATAGGTGGTAACCCAGACTCCAGGAGTGCACAGGACCCTCATGGTAACAGGAACCATGGACACAGTCATGTTAAGACCGAGGGCCAAGACATGGCCCTTGGTAGCAATCCTGGCCCTGACATCACCATGCCCCTGGGAGGCATGCAGGCCACCCATGTCAACCTGCTCCTCACTGCCATGGCCTCCCCAGATCTTCTGCCTCTCTTCATAGCACACGAACTGTTCTGCCTTTCTCTGTCATTTCCCCACCATATCCTCTCTCACCATAATGGTGCCTGGTCACCTGGTGCCACAGGCTGTCCTCCCAGGCCTCTCTTTTAAGAAACTTGGAGTGAAAATTTGTGAGTGACTTTTTTTTTTGGGGGGGCACATTTTCAGTCTCAGATACAGTCCTTCTCAGAATGTCAACCATATGTCTATCAATGGACAGTTCACCCATTGGCCTGGGAAACACATCTTCTCATCTGGTCTTTGTCCATCAGTTATACAAAACTGGGACTGCTTAAGAATGTCACATCATTAAATTTCAAGAAACGCTAGAGCACTCTGTATCTTTCTCAAATAATTCACACTTAATCAGTCCCCAAGCGGACATTGTGCCCTAGCTAATGAATCTAACCTGATTTCCACTGTTCATTTATGAGACAGAACACTGAGGAATTGTGGTTTCCTGGAAGGCATTTTTGTCTTTCCCGTATCTATTCCCACCAACATATTTGAAAGACCTAGCGGAAACATCCTTAGTGGGTGACTCTTTTTTTTTTTTAATAACAGAAATGTTCACACCTGGTTTATTTATATTAAGAAGCTACCACCTACAAATAAACACATCCTACAATTAGTAAGTGATTAAACCTGACTCTGGTACATCACCACCATGAAATACTGAGCTGTAAAAACAAAAGAACTGTTGATACAATTTGGATCTCAAGGGCTCATGTTGAATAAAAAAGAAAAGCTCATTTTAAAAGTGGTTGTGTTAGTGACCTTTCTCACAGCTGGGACAAAACATTCAACAGAAGTAACGTAAGGGAGGCAGAATTTCTTTGGGCTCACAGTTTGAGGGTAGAATCCGTCATGGGAGAGCAGGTGCAGTGGCAGGAACAGCTGTGTGGACAGGAGTGCATGGCAGCAGTCTTTTGCAAACTGGTGGGAAGGTTTCAGAGAACCAGATTGAAGCTGGTATGGACAATAACCCTCAAAGATTGCCGAGACTGACTCAACTTCACCAGGCAGACCCTAACCCAAGAGGTAGAAACCTCATAGAAATGAGCTCCTCAAAGAGCTCCCTAAGCCGTGGACCAAGTATCCAAACACATAAGCTCCTGGGAGACAGTTCAATTCTTCCCACAGCACAATAGCCATATCCCAAATGACAAAACATCCCCCCCACATACATATGCCACAGCTTTTTACAAACACATGTATGCATACCTACAAGAAAGAAAATATTTCAGTAAAAAAATCAAACCAGGATTTGAAATAGTGTTAAGACAGCAAGTCAGGTTGCTTAATGTTTATGTGTAATGTGTCTTGGAATCCTAATTGCTCTTGGTCAGCTTCTGGAGTGTGGTCCTTAAAATGTTCCTTTGTTACTGACTGGTAATGATGCCTTTTGTATCAGAAGCTATAATTCTAGCTTGTCAAGACTTCCCAGGAGTGTTCAGTAAGTTCTCGATGTGTGTTTATGCTGGGGTACTGTGGCTTGCTACCCTGACTTGTCATGTAATAGGGGTGTATTCTTGTAACCAGTGTCTCTATGATAGCCTTGGGTTCGAAGGCTTGATGGGCCTTTCCTACACAGAGATAGTTCACATTTTTCTCTGTCTAACTCATCACTAGAGCCAGCCCCAGAAGACATAGGCCTGAGAACCCTGTGCACAGGTATGGACTGTGCCTCGGGTCTACTTTTCCTTTTGATTTTCATTGTCCCCTGCTGTAATTGATCTTTACAATGAGTATAACCTGTCAGTTGGCTCTGAGAGTCATTTTGGTGAGTCACCAAACTTGAGGAAGATTGGGTCATGAATGAAGAGTGTCATTTTGATGAAGCTTTAAAAGAGTTTATGGCATATGTCACTTGGATATCTGGGAGATGTGACCATGTATGGTGTGTTCAAGAAGTATAAGGAAGCTTCTGTGAGCTAGGAATTAGACGAGGGATTTTGCCCAGAGAAGAGAAACAGCAGAACATGCCATCAGACAAAGACATTTTTTTTTTTTTTGCTTTTTCGAGACAGGGTTTCTCTGTGTAGCTTTGGAGCCTATCCTGGCACTTGCTCTGGAGACCAGGCTGGCCTTGAACTCACAGAGATCCGCCTGCCTCTGCCTCCCGAGTGCTGGGATTAAATGCATGCGCCACCAACGCCCAGCGTGACAAAGACATTCTTGATGACATCAGCAAGTGCATGCTAGGTAAAGCACTGTGTTTCATCTTCTCTCTACTGAAGAATAGCTGTGCTTATTTCTATATTTGTTTGCTTGTTTGTTTAGTGCACTTATTTCTATTTTTTTAGGTTCTTCATATCTTCTTTATAGTTTTCTTTTTCTCAGTCCTTTAAAACTTTTTGTTAACTTCAGAAAAGCTTTACTTCCTTTGTCTCTGATGACAAGTATGACTCAGGACTTAGGTGATCACTCATCTCCAGTCAAACTCTATTTGTGCAAATGAGGACAAAATCGTTCTTCCCAGTGTCCCCACATACCCGGCAGAATGTCTCTGAACACCGATGTCTGAGCTGAATTTTGAGGAAGTATTCACACTTTCTGGGGGATAAAACATGTTCTCCTGATGCACCTTTGACACTCTTTTCTGGGTTGGCCCCTACACAAGAGATTCCTCCTGACCTCACCCTGAGCTGGATGCCCAGTCCTTCCATGGCGCTTCCATGGCAGCCAATGGTTTTTTTTTTTTTTTTTTTTTTTTTTTTATACAACAAAATACCGAGAGATCAGAGAGAAGGAGCAAACCACAGCACAACTTACCTCCTTAGTGTCTCAGCAGACAAGAGAGCTATTTCTTGTTTCTCCCAGTCATCTCACTTCCTAACTGTCTGTACAGACCTCTAGACCTCTATGGTTAGCTAGTGGCAAGCTCCATTCTCTGACCCTCAGACAAGCTTTATTTGTACACGCAAAATATCACCACAGATAAGTCATCTCATGGTGGGTAAAACAAATAGTTTTTAAACCCCTAAATTAGTAACGTGCTCCCAGTGGGCTGTAGGTTCTCTATACTCCATGTCTTCACAGATATCCCACACAGTAAGTCTGTATTACATGTAATTTTGAGTAAGGGAGTGATTTTATGAATGATTCTAAGATAGTGTGGTAGTGTGAGTGTTATTGGCCCCCATAATCCCATCATCTCATAGGGAGTGTCACCATTAGGAGGTGTGGCTTTTTGTAGTTAGAACGGCCTTGTTGGAGGAAGTGTGTCACTGTGGGGGTAGACTTGGAGGTTTCCTATGCTCAGGATACAGCCCAGTGTCTCAGTTGACTTCCTATTGCCTGCAAGATGTAGGACTCTTATGCTGTCATGCTCTCTGCCATGATAATGGACTGAACCTCTGAAACCATAAGCAGGCCACTCCAATTAAATGTTTTCATTTATAAGAGTGGTCATGGTCATATTGGCTCTTCACAGCAATAAAAACCTTAACTTAAACAGGCAGTATAAAAAATTGAAACAAAAGAAAAAAATGTTAGGATAATAAATGCCCATGGAGTAAGCTTGGGTAGTGTGTTTAGGAGCTTGGGTAAAGCTAATTCATTTCCATGGAGGAAAAGGGCTCTGTGGGTAGAAGGAGCTGAGTCAAATCCCAATAGCTTAGGGGCTCTCAATTCCTCCCCAACTGAGTTGCTTGTTCAGAAAGACTCTTCGTGTGATCTATTTTCTTAGCTTTGGTGAACCACACTTTAACCTTTTAAGCCTACTGGGAACAGCCAGGATTTTATTTGTTCTATACCATTTTTTTTTAACCCTTTGAAGACTGTGTCCTTGGGTATCTCTTTAATTTCTTAGATTTGACATTTTCTCTGTAATAAACACTAGTTTACAGTTAATTGCAAATGAATTTGTTTCCAAGATAAACAGTATTTTCTTTTTCTTTCTTTCCTTCTTTTCTTTCTCTCCCCTCCTCTTTCCTCCCCTCCCCTCCCTTCCATTCCCTTTCTTCTCAACAACCAATAATATTTTTGCATCCAATTCTGGGGCTTAAGCAATGAGAAGGTGGCTTTTCTACTTTTACTGAGTTTTTTTTTTTTTTTTAATTCAGTGCCATTTTGTGCCTTTGAAGGAAGGTGGTTAGTGTGTCTGTTTGAAATGCTTGCAAAGATTAAGCTGTGTAAGTCCTCTCCGCTCTGCCTTACAGAGTGCATAATTATATATCCTTTCTCTTTCTAAGCTCCTTTGCTATCCTTGGCTCCTTTCTAAGCCTTCAACTCTTGTTTCAATTAAATAGGGAAATAGCTCATATCTTGGAAGAAAGGCTTACAAAAACACCCTCTTGGTCCTTGTTTATAACTGTGATAATAAAAGGTTTAATTTTTTTTCTGTGGCACAGTGTCTTACATTTAGGAAGCTCTGCCCTTATGAATTCTGTAGTGAACTTTCCAGGTTAAATGTTTTCATGCAACATCATCTTAGCTTCCCAACCAAAAGGACTCTTAATGTTTATTGCTGTTATTGTAGCAATGTATTCTTCACTTGAGACTATGGGAGTGGCCTCAAATCTTTGTGCTAAGTACTGAAGTTAGAATCAGGCAGTGATTTCAGGAGAGCTACCTGCTTCTCCCGGGAACGTGGCCGAATTTGGTCTTCTCCATTCTCCTCGTTGCTCTACACCTTTTTTTTTTTTTTTTTTTACCTCACCTGTCCTTTCCTTGCTCCATCCTTTTCCAACCAGTGTATGTCCACATGGCAACCCTTATCAAGCTCTATAAGAACACCAGGCAGAGTGGGAAATTTTTGGTTATTAAGTTGCCTTGTAGATCGAGAAGCCTGATCTGTAGGATTGCCAAGCAAATACCAGCAGATTCATGAGCTCTGGGACCTGTCAGAATAGAATCTAGATGTCATGGAGATATATATTTGAAAAGGGAGAGTTTGACTTAAACCAAAGAGTGAATTGAGATTTGCATAGCAGAGGTCTTTTAAAAGTTTCTTGTCTTAGTTAAGGTTACTATTGCTGTGGTAAAATACCATAACCAAAGCAAGTTGAGGAAGAAAGGTTTTATTTGACTTATTCTTCGACATCACTATTTATCATTGAAGGAAATGTCGACAGGAACTCAAACTGGTCAGGAACCTGGAGGCAGGAGCTGATGGAGAGGCTGTGGGAAGGGTGCTGCTTACTGTCTTTCTCTCTGTGACTTATTTCCCAAGACAAGGATTCTCTATATAACAGTTCTGGCTGTCCTAGAACTAGCTCTGTAGACCAGGACAACCTCGAATTCACAGCAATCTGCCTGCCTCTGCCTCCGCCTCCCGAGTGCTGGGATTAAAGACTTGCACTACCACTGCCTGGCCAGACTTTAATTAATTAATTAATTAATTAATTACTCTTTATGTGCATTGGTGTATGACCTTAATATGTGTCTGTGTGAGGGTGTTGGATTCCTTGGAACTGGAGTTACAGTTGTGACCTGCTGTAAATTGAACCTGGGGTCTCTGGAAAAGTAGCTTGCTTTCTTATAGAACCCAGGACCATCAGCTCAGGGCAGCCCCACCAACAATGGACTGGACCATCCCCCATCAATAATTAAGAAAATATCCTACAGGCTGGTCTGCAGCCCTATATTTTGGAGGCATTTTCTCAGTCAAGGCTCTCTCTTCTCCAATGACTCAGCTTGTGCCAAGTTTACATAAAACTAGCCAAGATGTTATGTATTTGAAATAGAAGAAAGAAATGAATAGTTATATCAGAGCCAACAAGTGGGTTGGTCTTCCATAGTGACTAGTGATCCATTTATGTACAAACACAGAGAACGGTTCTGCAAACTTTTATTTTCTTGATAGTAGATATGTTAGTCTTAGCAGACCCTAGTCTTCATAGGCCATATGGTCACTGATAGAACTGTCAACTTTGCCAGTGTAGGAAAACTAGCCATAGATTCATGGATGAATGAGTTTGACTGTGTTACAAGAAAATTGTATAAAATCAGTCACTGGGTCAGAGTTGGTGTGCAGGTTGTGGTTTGCCAGAACATGATGGAAGAGCGGAATTAGAGGGAAATAGGTTACATAGGAAAGTGGAGGCAGGTGCCAGAGGATTTTGGATGCTAGCCTTTAGCTGTGAATCGATATCCTCTTTAATGAAACCAAGCCTGGTATATCTCACCTCAAAGCTTTAAATACACAGCCATCTAAATTAGAACCAGATATTTTCTATTTATAGCTTTAAGATAGCTGTATGCCCAGATATAAATTAAGACATATCTGTGACTGAATATTAAATGTATAAAGTGGTTTATGGAGAGCAAAAGTGGCCTTTGAATGTCCCCACTAAAGTCTGATTTGGGTCAGAAGCAGAAATGTGGCATCTTTAGAGTTGTCAGTGTGACTGCTCTGTAGGAAGGGACCAAAAGTCAGATGATAGAGAAAACCAGAGAAGGCTTGGCCAGGCCCACTAGGCTCTCTACACAAAAATGTCAAAAAGCCCCTTGTTTAAAATGCCAGTGTAGATATTGACTCCAAAGTAGATATTGAATCCATATCTTGGCTTTTATACGAATTTTTAGCATATTAGCTCTGAAGTAACTTCTGTTTAATTTCATTGAACATTACATTATGTATTATAGAAAGTGCTTTTGTCTGTTTCAGTATCACTTTCACTTCCACTATCATCGGAAATTTTGCAGTCTTTTCCCCCACTCATATGTTGTTTCCCCTCTAGCTAACCTTCCCCAAGACTCTATTAAAGTACTCATCCCCAACACTGCCCTAGTGCTGATGTGACCTGAAGTCGGCAGTTACTGACCATTTGCTGAATGAATTCATAGTGGTAAACATTTGTCTGTATTCATAACAAACATCTTTAAAACTATATTTCTATGAGCTCATTGCTGCCTATTTTTCACTGAGGATTACATATTCTCCTAAAGTCTTTTGGATTTATTTCCTTAAAGTATGTACCACTCAGTTTATAAAGGCTTTTATTTCAGCATTATAATTCTAGGAAGACGTTGCAGTCTAGTAAATGAAATTATTGTAGTTGCTTCCAGCACACTGGGGAAAATGTAGGCTGGATTTTACACCAGAGAAATCTGTGCCTTCAGTGGTGTCGTCTTCGCACAGTTGTAACCTACATATTGGATACAACACAATGAAATGTTGCCAGATTCAGGAAGAAGCAGGCTTGTAATTTTTTCACCCATCCCACATCAAGATGTTGGTGTCACCCAATTATATACCTATAAGTATTTTAAAAAACCCTTTCCAGAACTTGACTTACCCACCCTATACAATAGGAAACTGTCCTCTTAAAAGGACATTTCATTTTTTATAACATTTGTAATTTAAATCAGAGACAAGCCTGCTTCACATGTCAATCCCAGCTCCCTCTCCCTCTCTCCTCCCCCGTCCCCCCTCTGCTCTCCAGGGAGGGGTGAGGCCCTCCAAGGGGGATCCCCGAAGTCTGTCATATCATCCAGGACAGGGCCTATGAAAAGGACATTTCTTTAAGCTGATTTAATATTCATTGAATTTTGGTGTTTCACACCACTTAATACACATAATAAGTGTTAATCAGTAATCGAAGGATGAATCTCATCAAAATGTGTTTTATTTTAGGTTTTTTTTTCAGCATTTAAATTATATGTTTCTTAGTGCAGTTGTAATTACTTGTTATCCGACCATTTTTAAACCAGTGGTGACATATTGAAAAGAAGATTATGTGACCATGAAATAATGGTTATAATTAAGTGACAGAGAAAATAATATGCTCACAGAAAGCTGACTAAACAATGGAGAAAAGTAGGTAGATCATGGAGACAATTGCATTGCTGGTTGAAAATTATATATATTTAATCGTGGTATCTGCTTCATGTAATGACAAAGTGTTTTTGTTTAGAGGGAATGGGGAAGGGGGTGCAGTAGATACGGAGTGCTTGTGGCTGCCAATGCTACCTGCTTCATCAGCTGCCATGTAGAAGTCAGAGCATTCTCTTTAAGCCATGAACAGGCAATTCTTTATAACTTACGCCCTTTAAATTGTTTTGACCAGACCTTCAAGCTTTCAGCCGATGTTTTGCTCCTTTTTCTTTTCAAAATACTTTTGCTGTTTACTGGGTGAGAGACAAACCATGTTCAAGGATTGGGGAAAGAGGCCCAAAAATAACAAATGAGTGTTTGCCTCTAAGGATTGTTGAGGAGGAAATAGACCAGTAAATATGATGAGGGTCACAGCTAAGGGATAATATAGGACAAAGAGCTTGGGAGGTGGTATCAGAGGGACTTACTGGCTTCATTTCTCCTTGCCTTAACATTAGGAGATGATTTGTAGGTTTGTTGAATAGGATAACATGTAGTTCCAGCAATGAACCCAGTGTGCTTGTGCACAGAAGCGTGTGTGTGTGTGTGTGTGTGTGTGTGTGTGAGAGAGAGAGAGAGAGAGAGAGAGAGAGAGAGAAAGAGAGAGAATGCTCATATTTAGGATGCCAGCTTCATCAGGTAGAGTCAGGGAGGAAAAAACTACAAGAGCAAAGATGATTAGTGTTTTTCCAAGCTGAGCTAGAGAAGAGTTTGCTAGTCAGGCCTCCTTGTTCCCTAAGCTTATTAGGTGATTGAAAGTGTAGCTGCAGGATCATCACCAGGGAGTGACACTGTAGTGTTGATAATCTTTTTTCCCCCTATGTAGGTTTTCTGATCAAATTTGTAGCACTTCTGAGGGAGGGATTGTTTTAAATTATTTTATCAATCAAGCCCAGCTTTGGGTCATCTGGAGCCACAGTTCTTTATTTTGTTCTCTGTTCTTTCATAAGCTTAGAGCAAATGGGATTTTCAATTATTTTGTGAATTTCCTTTAGGATCTTATCCACCCATTGGGTTTTTTTTTTTAATTGAAAAGCTCTGAGATTTTTTTTAAACTGATATTTGAAGTGCATGAATTAATAAAACCCTCTTTGCGTCTTATTTCTTAGTACAATCTAGAAGGAACTAAGTACAGTTTGTTGCTACAGGTACTTTATAAAATTTAAATAGAAAATTCATTTAACTTTTGGTTTCATCCAGGTTTTGATTCATCTTTTTCTCTCTCTCTCCATTTTTTTTGGTACTTAATATTATTCTTTCTTCCTTTACTTTCTCTTATACAAAATAGAGTGGCCTATCAACTAAGCACATATATTTATACTTGTACCCTGTAGCATTTATGGTTTGTGTTTCAGAGACAAGCAACACAACCTCTGGCTATAATAAATTCAGGGAGCTCAGAGAGGGATTATGAAGATGCTTGTAGTCTGAAAGGAAACTTGGGGACAGTGCTGAAATCACACGACTTAGGGCTCATAGGTTTTCTAGGCTAGTTCAGTTCTAGGGCTGTGAGCCTCTGCATCTTCATTTCCTCTCAAAGTGCTGGAGGCTTGACTCCCGTGGTTGAGGTGGCTGACTGAGTAGCAGCTGCTGGTCCCTTCTACTTCTCCACTTAAATTTTTTTTTTTTTTTTTTGGTACTAGCTGGACCCATTGAACTACATTTAGCATAGAAATCCATTGTGTCGTGTACATTACAATATTTTGCTTATGCAAGAGTTATTGTTCCCATTAAGCTAGAAGGCATCAGCCCAGAGGGCCTCAAACCTCAAAGAACTACAGGCAACTGAATAATGCTCCAAGTGTGAGGAATTAGTCTTCCTCAGGAAAAGGCACACTGATTGGTTATTTAATAGCAAATGGTTATCCCTGAAAACATATGCAAGTAACATTATACACACAGAGTGGGTTGTACTTAGGAATATACACACATACATGTGTGTGTGTGTGTGTGTGTGTGTGTGTGTGTGTGTGTGTGTGGCCAGACTGGTGAAACCCACAGAAACAGCTGAACAAAGGGGAACTCTTGATTCCCAGACTGATCGCTGGAAAACCACCATGGGACTGATCCAGACCCCATGAATGTAGGTGCCAGTGAGGAGACCTCTGAAATTTATGGGGCTTTTTGTAGTAGATCAGTACTTATCCCTAGTATAGGAATAGACTTTGGGAACCCATTCCACATTGAGGGATGCTTCCTGAGCCTAGACATAAGGGGGTGGGCCTAGGTCCTATCCCAAAGGATAGGACAGACTCTGAAGACCCCTTATGAAAGGCCTCAGCCTCCCTGGGGAGCAGAAAGGGTATGAGATAGGTAGGGTATTATTTGGGGGTGGCAGGGGAGGAGAGGAGGGAGATGGAACTGGGATTGACATGTAAAATATTCTTGGAGAAACAAACAGAAACTGGACCTGACCTACCTGGAGATCCTAGTCATAAAGCTGGGGAAACAGCATTGGACTGAACCAAGCCCTCTGAATGGGGTTGCCAGCCAGGAGGCCAAGACAGTTTATGGGACCTCTAACAGTGGAGCCAGTCTTTATCCCTAGAGCACAAATGAACTTTGGGAGCTCATTCCCTATGGAGGGATACTATTGCAGCCCATGCCCTTCCCCCAAATGATATGACGGACTTTGAAGATCCCCCGTGGAGGGCCTCACTATCCCTGGGGAGGAGTTGGGGGATGGGTTGGAGGGGTTGGTGAGGAACTTGGGAGGATGGGAAGACAAGGGAATGGGGGGAATGATATGTAAATATGAGTAGTAATTAAAGAATAAAAAATAATCTTGTTTCTAATTTAAATAAAAAATAGAGAGAAAGAAAAAAGAAAAAAGGGTCATGGAGTTGAAAGAGAGGAAGGGTATATCTGAAGGTTTAGAGGGAGGAAAGGGAAAGGAGAAATAATGTAATAATATTATAATATCAAAAATTTATTTTTTAAAAAAGTTTGATGCCATGAATTCGGGTGTGTGTATATGTGTATGCATACACACACAGGGTTTCGGCATAATTTTTTTCTTTTTAGTTGGTGTTAAGAATTAAAGTTCTCAACAATGATTGCAATGATGTATTCTTTGAGATACATTCATGTGACATTTATCCTCATCTTTAGGCTCTTGAGTGGATCAGAACTATTTTGTTTTCCAGTCTGCTGAAATGTGCCTTCCCAAGGATGGAGTGATTGTTAATTAGTTCTATTTATATTTAAAACGATCGCAAAACAATTTGGGTGTGGTTAACAAAGTTGGAATAAACAGGTCTGATAGTGATTTGTTAGCAGTACTGTGGCTTAGCCAACATGAAGTAGGATTTCTCTTTTTACCTCACATGCTTTTCTTGATAAAATATTAAGGAAAATTTTTTTTTTCAAATACAGAGCATCATCATCAGTCCTTAATGGTTTTCCAACTTTAGAAAAAAACATTATTACTAATCATGTTAACAACCAAATATATTTGCATTAACTTCATTTTGTTTCCTTAAGCAATGGCCATTCTCCCAGTGTTTCAGACTAGCATTTGGACATAAGGGTGACAGACCTGTGGTCACGAATCTAAGGGATAGAATAGTAGATCTTGACTCACTCCAGAGCCCACTTCCAGGGTGCTGTGGTACTTCCTCCCCAAGGCGTCTCCATGGTGCATGTTCTTTGTTTTTGCCAGAAATCACGAGGGGTAAACCCCAGTGAACATACAGTCAGGGTCTGCACATGAGCAATAAGACAGAGAGGGTCCAGTAGAGCTGGCTTTAATTCTCATCTCATTGTCTTCACTTTAGATTAGTGCGACATCTTGTGTGGGCAAGGAAGAATGGCTTTCAGATTTTGGAGAATCATTTCTGTGTGATATTTCATGTAGTTGAAACAGTAACACATTCCCTGACTACTAGCCATCAGAAAATGAAGGAGCTTGCTATGAATGGGTGTATTCAATTAGTGTTAAAATTCTGTAAGTTGAAGGCAAGTTAAAAATATATTTTCCTCAAGAGCAGTTCACTGCTATCCTTTTAAATGACAAAATTACAATAATACTGTGACTTATTAATAATAAATATACTAATTTATTTTGTTTTACAAAGAATATTGAATTGGTTGGAATGGTTTTTACCTTTTGGTACAGCCATTAATGTATACCTCCTAAATTTAAAAAAAAAAAAAAAAGCTTTGTCTTGTTCTTCAGAAGTATTGAATGTGCAATGCCGTACATTCTAGGGTTTGACTGGATTCAGTTTCTGGCTTTATTTTTTCTTCCAGTGTCTGTATTTATGCTAAAAGTCCAGGTGAATGACATCATCAGTCGCCAATACCTGAATCAAGCAGTTGTGGAGGTATTTGTTAACTACACAAAGACAAATTCTATGGTAACTAGAAACAATGGAGCAGTATTGATAAAAGTACCCTACCAATTAGGACTCAGCTTAACCATCATTGCTTACAAAGATGGCTATGTCTTGACACCTCTGCCTTGGAAAACTGGAAGGATGCCAAGTAAGTACTACAGTGGTATTTTGGACTCACAAATGTAAACGATTTCTTCCTCTGCTGGAGGAGAATCTGTTGAGCTGAAAATGACAATACCTACAAGAATCCCATAAAATATGTTTAGAAGGAAAGGAAAATTTGTAGAAAATAGTCTTTGTCTGTTTGGAACACTAAAACAAAACACCACAAACTAGGTAGCTTGTAAACAACAAAGATATTTCACACACTTCTGGAGGTGAGGAAGACCAAGGTTGAAATGGCAATGGGTTTACTGTCTGGTGAAGGCCTGCTTTCTGATTTATGTAACTACTTTCCATTTTATAGATGTCAACTTCTCACTTTGTCCTCACATGGAAGAGTCTTTGGTGCTAATTTTTCTTTTTTTAATATATAAATTTCATTTAAATTAGAAACAATCTTATTTTACATATCAATCCCAGTTCCCTCTCCCTCCTATCCCCCCTTACCCCTCAACGCTCCCCCCTCCATTCTATCCCCTATCCACTTCCTAGGGAGGGTAAGGCCTTCCATGAAGGATCATTAAAATCTGTCAAGTCATTTGGGGCAGGGCCTAGGCCCTCCTCTCCTGTGTGTCTAGGCTAAGAGAGTGGTGCTATTTTTTTTTAAAGGCAATTTAATTCCATTGACAAAGCCTCTGTTCTCTTAATTACTCCAAAAGCTCCACATTATTTTGAACAGTATTGTTCTTTTTTTTTTTTAGATTTTATTTATTTTTTTATTTATTATGTATACAGTCTTCTGCCTGCACTCCAGCAGAGGCCACCGGGTCTCATTCAAGGTGGTTGTGAGCCACCATGTGGTTGCTGGGAATTGAACTCAGGACCTCTGGAAGAACAGTCAGTGCTCTTAACCAATGAAAGCTCTACATTTTAACACCACAGCTTTCTTTTGTGGGATCACAGCAATCATGAAGGCACTTCATCCTCCATGGAGGCTTGGGCATTGCCCAGTTGTGGATGCCTGTGGCAATTATCCTTACCTGCAAAGAAAATTCTCTAATGAGAGTCGAATGAGGCACTGATCTTTGTGTGTAGCAATATATCATTAGCAGTCATTTTATTGCTGTGCTCCATTAACAGAATGATCATACTAAGTTTCTCTTAGAGCCCATGACCTATTTAGTCTCAAGTTTTAGTTGCTTTAGTAATGTAAGGTATGGGTTCCATATCACAGAGTGAGTTTTAAGTTCAATAAAGTGGTTGGCTAGTTCCATAATATTTGTGCCACTATTATACCTGTCTACCTTCCAGAGAAGTCACTGTTGTAGGCCTCAGGGTTTGTGGCTGGGTAATATTGATGATTACCCGTCTCTTCTGGTAGTGTATAGAGTACTTTCCGGCACCATAGATGATAGTCAGTAGGGGTGAAGCTTCCAGTTGGTCTTCACTAGGTTTCTACATGTTCAATGATGTAAGTATGCAATGTCTTCAGCAATAGGGTCCTTACCATTAGGAGATGAGGGTAACTAGTAACCTTGGCAATTGTCTGTGATGCTTGAGGGTGAGAATCTATGGTACCTCTTTGTCCAATGACTCAACAAGTTGTAACCCATTCCTGGCACTGAGGGATTTACTTAGTAGCATGAGATGTCTAGGTAAGGGCATTGTCTTCCCCATTGTATGATGATTTAACTTAAGTTTCTCAAATGTATATATATTTTAGGAAGCTCCTACAGTAGTAAGTTTCCATACAGCTTTGAGATGGCCTTTAGTGCTAATGTCCCTCCCCATGTTCCCTTCTTTACTCTGCTCTCCTACCCCTCTCCCTTTAATTTTCCTATTCCAGTTTTCCCGTTATTTCTTTATAATGACATTCTATTTCACTTTCCTTGGAAGGACCCATCCTCTGCCTTGGACCCTTACTAGGTACCTAGCCTTTGTGATTGTTTTAATTGAAACACACACACATCTAAAGCTTTAAAGCTAACATCCATATATATGAAAAAACATACAATATTTGTCTTTTGGGCTCTGGGTTACCTTACTTGTAATGCTTGTTTCTAGCTCCCTCCATCAACTTACCTGAAAATTTCATGTTCCTTAACAGCTGAATCATATTCCATTGTGTAAATTTACCACTTTTTCATTATCCATTCATTGGCTGATGGACATCTAAACTATTTCCAGTTTCTGGCTATCATGAATAAAGCCATGAACATGGATGAGCAAGTGTAGAGCCCTTTGGGTATATATAAAGAAGCTTTTGGGGCACACTGTGACAGAACTATACCTGCCTCAGTTTCCCCTTTGTTAAACATTTTTATTGTATTGTATTTCACAGTATATTCTTCAGTTACACTTTCACTCTTCCCGCAAAGCCAAGCAAATATATGGCTCTTTGAAGACACTGTTTTGATTACCGGAAAATTAGCTGGTAAGTCTACTACGTTTTTACTAAGGAAGTTCTTTGAGTGACTGTTTTATAAGAGAATCAGCATTGATTGTAACTTGACAAAAGTCCACGTTGGGTATTGATGGTAGTAAGATGATCTGTACCAGTTTTTATCTTACTATAAAATTATATTTTTGGGTATTAAACATAATTATCTTCAGGATCCACTGCACCTGGGAATCTATGATGTGAGGAGGAAGTAGTAGAAATTTCTGTCTGTCCTCACTGTCTCATCTCTCAGTGGGGACTGTACGTCTGGTGAAACTGTGACAAGGACAGACAAGTTTCCCAGACCTCTGCGCTCCCTAGCTGTTACTATTTCCTCCTGTGTGTTTAGTGTGAATCTGGCTGCTAATACAGGAGAGGCCTGTGACTGGGCAGTACCCATCTTCTAGGCAGCCTTCACTGGTGGTACTTGCTACTTGCATGTCCACAAGAAGGAGGTCAAAAAACCTCTTTTGGGGGTGTTGGTTCAGAGTGTTTCTTCCCTGCTTTACCAACTATGAAGATGACACTTGGACCTTTTCTGTACCTCCATGTACCCCTTATTTGATGCTTAGGAGAAAACTAGACATTTTGTTTCTCTTTGATAGATAATACATAATGCCTTCATGAATTAAACTATCTGTTTGATTTGTGTTGGTCAATTAATGTTCAGTGCTGAAACAATGGAAATGACTAAAAGGCAGGAAATCTTCATGAATGAGTCAACCAAGAGAGGCATGGCCTAAAGAACTGCTTGTGAAAATCCACATTTAGAAGCTAATGTAAGCATCTCTGAAGTACTAAATAGGGACACTTAATAGTACTCATTAGAACTAGAACTTGGACTTGATTAATTATGGAGTGACTTACTAAGTAGGGCTTTAGACCCTCTTACCCTAGATGTTAGAGCATTTGTTACTTATTTTGCAAGCATGTGGCGGACTACGATGAGTTTTGTGTGGCACCATGGCTACAGAGGTCCTGGTTTCATGCTGCTGGGGTTTTAATGAAACTAGGTACAGATGTTTCTGATGTTGTTACATCTCTCCATAAAGTACCCACTTCTCTTCTTAATGCTCATAAAGTACTTCATCAAGAAAGCATTTGGTGTATGTAATAGGGTGTGTTTAGTATATGTGAATGTGTTTGTGGATGGGAATAGAAAAAATGAAAACTTTTCTTAGGAAATGCCGGTAATTTATTTAGGATGCTTATCTTTACTTGGAAGAAATGTGTATATTCTGCATTATTAAGCCACATTTTAAAAATTTTATTATTTAGGTTAACATACAAAATAGTGTATTTCATTGTGATATCTTCATATATAAAAGTCACATATTTTAAAAGTGACTGTATTAGATAATAGTTTGAGTGATCTGAAAATACCCAAGTGTTTCCTCAAATATCTTAACCAAATAATAATGAAGATATAACTGTGCTGTTTCACTCCAGTGTTTTATAGGAGTTCTTTTTCTCCCTTTTGGAAAAATCATAGAAACTGATTTTAAGAATCATCTGACATTATTCTTTTATTATCACACAAATTTTTAAAATTTGATGCATTTTTCATCGTTACAACTTAAATGATTTCTTCTACCTTTATTGGTGATCTTATTAAAGTCCAAAGCCAAAGGTAATGTATCTGATAACTTACAACTTTAATTTTGGAATTTATCCTTGGCTTGTTAAATTGCATTGGTTATAGACATACCAATATGTCATTGAGTTTTCAACTGATAAACATCTGAAGAGAGTCAATTCAACACCACTGAAATGAGGTAATATGTATATGCTTGGAATCTGGCATTTAGAAGACTTTAAAATTACTGTGTGCCTATCTGATTGGGAAACATACTCATTTCAGTATGTGGCTGAATGTGCTGAAGGACAGTTATTGAAAATTGTTGAAAACCTATCCTAAACTAGCATAATTCCAAAGGAACCATTTATCTTTTACAAAGCAGGGTCAACTTCAGGCAAGACTTAATCTGAAGCAGTCAAGTTGGAATAACTGAAAAATAGTTTTTCCTTTCTCCATTTCTCAATTCTACCATGTGAACATTGCCTCCATTTTTAAACAAACTCTCATTTTGGGTTACAAGATGGGACCTTGGGAGACAAAAAAAGCCTTCCATTTTGCATCCAGGCTTGGGACTAGACTCATTGTTAAAGATGAACAAGATGCTTGATTGGGCTTGGCCCATTCTGACACATACCATCAACCTCACTCCTGCTGTAGAACCATGCAGACTGAGGATGGTCAATGTAAGGCTCATTAAAGGGAGATCTGAAAGAGCCATGAAGAAATTCTGGGTAGCGTCACACAGTTCTAGTCTGGAGGTACTTTGTTATCTAAAAGAAACATACGTAATACTAATGCTGTATGTTACCTTTGTATGTTCCAGAACTTTACATTAACTATACTACACTGACATCTTTCCCCACAACTTGTGCTTTACACTCAAGTTTCTTACATGTATCCATATAAGCATCAGTGGCTCATTTGTGGTTCACAGATTGATTCTATTGTGGGATAAAAGTACTCATTATATGAATATAGAAAAAAAGAAACTTCTTAGTTCTGAATTTAAAGAAATTATAGGAGATGTTGGCAACACTCAGAACTCATTATAACCACATCCTGTAGAAGAAAATGTCCTGACCAGTGAGGCTGTTTCTAATATACATATGTTTTTGTTCATTTGTTAATGGGATTTCCTTTGTCCAGATGCCAAATCTCAACCAAGTGTTCAGTTCTCAAAAGCCTTCATTAAACTTCCTGACAACCATCATATTAGCAACGTGACTGGCTACCTAACAGTTCTACAGCAGTTTTTAAAGGTGGACAATTTTCTGTATACGACTGGAATCACTCTTAACAAACCAGGTATTTCCTAGTTTTTAAATATGTAGTCATGTGTCTAAAAATATCAGCACAAAACTATTCCATCAAGTACCTTTTATTTATTGTACATAATATTACATATTTGATTTTCATTGAAGCTTTACAAAATACATGTTTCTTTAAAAATATCTGGTATTAAATTGTTTATAAGCAATAGCTTTTCATTAAAAAAAGAATACAGAAGCCAGGCGTGGTGGCCCACATCTTTAATTCCAGCACTTAAGAGACAGAGGCAGGCATATTTCTGTGAGTTCGAGACCAGCCTGGGTACAAACCAAGTTCTAGGGCAGCTAGGCCACACAGAGAAACCCTGTCTCCAAAAACAAACAAACAGATAAACAAAACAAAAAGGAATAATTGTACCTTTGTCCTTGGCATATATTATGCCAACTTAATCAAAATGTCCTTTCATTTTAATTCATTAAATTCATTTGAACCAAAGTAAGTAAGCAAAATATAGAAAAAGTTGTGATTATTGCAAAAAATAATACATGTAGAAACTTTGACTTAAATGCGTATCCCAGTTTGACTTTCTAGGCAGTCTTAGCAAACTGATGAGAAATGTCAGTTAAATAGCCAGCGGAAGTGTGCTGTGATCTCAGAGTTATATTTACCACCTTGACAGAGTTAAGCAAGCTATCATAATTTCTACTTGATCTATCTTAGCTAAAAAAGAAACTAGTCCACAGCTCTGATGTTAGGCTCATAATTTGAAAGTGAAGGGATGAATGGATCTTTGCTTTAAAAAAAAAATTAAAAACACAGCCCCATTTGCCACACCATTTCTGCTATCCTTTATAAATCTAACTGAAACTCCACTGTTTAAAAATTACCTCAGACAATTTATAATTTTGAGTATTTTAGTTGTGTCAAATTTTTGGTTCATTTGGGTAAATCTAGAAAGGAGAGCATATTATGGAAATAATATATATTATAAATTATAAATAGTTGTAGCCAGAAGAAGCCCACTCTTCTGTCACAAGCCTGTTTCCTACTGCACATGGTAGTCACTGCCTGAGGGCACTGCCTGGTTTATGAAGCAGGTTTTGTCCTTACATGGGGCATACAGGAGTTAACACATTAATATTCCCATGTCCTGGCTTTGGCTGGTAGGCTTGGACTGGAATTATCTCGATGATTGTCTTTCATTCCTATGTGCCCTGTTGGCATCTTTCCTTGTGTATTAAGTTTCCACTCCATCAGTGGTTGTTTCTGGGGACTACTTTCTTGGTCAGTTCCAGCTCACACTATTCCAAAGCCTGATTCTTGAGGAAGTTGTTCTGAGACATCCTACTAAGTTTTTCTAGATGTAAGTTAGAGGATGTGCAAAATAAAGGCATTTGCATGAATGCTACAAACTGGCTGCCACAGGAGAGCTCATGCTGTGCTGGAGGATGTGAGACTCCGGCAGGGTCACAATGAGCTTCCTCTCAAAATCCCTGCTTTAAACATGTTGAGTCTTGTAAGGGGACTTCTTTGCTTTGTCCAGTCTGGGGCCACTGGTCACACTGCTTACTGAATTTGAGATGTCATCCGTGCACCAAAGGTCTAGATTTTATATGAAAGTCACGTGCAGCTGGTAGCATTTACATTTTGTAGATAATAAGCCAAAATACCAACACACACCAAGCTTTAAGTAGTCTTGTTAGCTATTTGTTCATAAAATTTTACAAAAGGTTTAGGTTTTTACTGAATTCATTTTACTATACATGACAAAACTTCATTGTAGTAGACTAATTTTTTTTGAAGTTAAGAGGCAGTTTGAGCTTTTCAAAATTGAGCACGAGGCTATGTATGTCTTGTGTGGGCTGGATGAGGTTCATTTTATGGGAAGACTCTGGTCTTTATGGGACTCAAGGGGGCCTGCCAACTACTAGTTACAGGTGCTGTAGTGGTCTTGGTTCTACTTTGGCCATTTAATCATTTCCTCCTATTGGATTTATACAGTTCTAGAGCCCTGTGAGTCTACTGGTCTTTTGTTTTTTTTTAAAACTGAAAGTTAGGGTTAGCACTTAGGGCATAGAGTGTGTGCACTCAATGCAGCATGCCAGTAGAGTCCAGAAGACAACTTCTGGGAGCCAGTACTCGCTTTCCAACTTCTAGTGAGCAGTAGGAATCAAACTCACATTATCAGGCTTGTACAGCAAGTAACTTTACCCACTAGACTGGTGTTAGGGCTTCAAAGACAATCAGCTGGATTCAAGTGGATTCAAGTGTCTTAAGTCAGATGACTCAGAGAGAATTAGATTAACCGAAGCTTACCCTGATTGGTCAATGTTACATTATTAGCCAACATTTATTTATGAAATATTTTGAAATCATATTTTAAATATTTATTGTACAGCCAATAGAATATGTATTAGAATGGATAATAATGACAAAATAATAGAGAAAAATGAATTTTGGAGCCATAGCAATTTATGTATATGCAACTTCTGAGTATAATCTTAATAAATTATACTGTCTTTTAGGTTTGGAAAATATTGAGTTGTCTCCTCTTGCTGCAATATGTGTGAAAATATATTCTGGAGGAAAAGAATTGAAGGTGGATGGCTCTATTCATGTAAATCTTCCTCTTTTACATACAAATAACATAAACATGGGAGATCGAATACCTGCTTGGACATTTGATATGAACACAGGTAGGGTAGCTAAGAGAAAATAGAATATTTTTCTTTTGGATATTTGGGTATTTCACCTTAGAGCATTATACATATTTAGGTTTTCACTAACATTACCATTTTGTATACTTTGTTAAGGACCATAATTGGCCTCACTGTTACATGTGTTTGTGAGGGGAAATGATACTAATTCATCATCTTGGTTGCTTTTCCAGTTGCTATAGTAAAATGCCCTGACAAAAGGAACTTAAGAGAGAGAGGATTGACTTTGATTTATAACCATGATGGTTATAGTCCATCATGTTGGGGAAGCTATAGTAGGGGAATGGCTGAGGCAGCTGGTCACTTTGCATCTGCAGTCCAGAAGTGGAACACGATGGAGGCTGGTGCTCAGCTGGCTTCTTCCTTTAACAGCATTCAGGATCATAGCCCAGTGATTGGTGCCACTCACAGTGGCTGTGTCTTCCTATTTCAGCTGGCCTTCTCAAGATAATTCTCCACAGGCATGCCAAAGAAGGCCCATTTCCCATGGTGATTCTAGATCTCACCAAGCCGACAATTGAGGTTAACTATCATACACATTATGTAAAGACAAACAAAAATTTGGACATTATTCACCCACATTGTTTTGTGTTGTCTTGTATTGTCTTGACAATAAATAACACAAGTGAGGTCCCAATTTTATTCATTGCATTTTGCTTCCCAGATGGCAACTGTGAAGCCCTTTCTCTAGTTTTGTTTGTTTCCATATAAATAAAGTAGTAGTAAAGATTTCTAAAAGTAAATAAATAGGGTGGTGTGTCCAGTCGCGTGGCCTGGTGCAGAGCATGCTACAGAGCCTGGATGGTCTTTCAGAACTTGCTTTTTCTCCTTTCTCACCCATTTCCTCTGTGTTAGCACCTTCCTAAAGTAGGATTTTGAAATGTCCAATGGAAGGTGGTTGGGGCTGTAGCTTCTGTCTTTGTCAGGTTGAAGACTAGCAGAAAGGTAGATATGGTTTGTTTGGTAGTCACAGAAGAATCTACACTGTGTTGAAGAATAGAGTTTGTGCAAGAAGAATGTACACATTTTATATAGGATTAGCTCACACATTGATGTGGTGTGGAATCCTGAACTCACCATGCCATCTGAAAACAGGGAATGGAAAGAAAGTCAAGGGAGATTTGTGATCTGATGCCACTGGGAATGGAAGGGTGGATTGTAAGGCCAAATCCATATAAACGTCCACTGTGAAAGATAAGCTGCATATGTCCGTGCTCTTTCAATTAGTGGAAGCTATGCAACTAAGAGTGGTAATCCACTACTGAGAGTTTTGGGTCAGTTCAGATGAGATCTGGGGTCTAGTCCGCTTACCGGCAGTGCCATGTGGGACAAGCCTTTTAAGTGATTTGGGACTCAGTGTTTTCAAATTATTTTAAGGAAGAATGAGCTATTTGAGTTCTGGTTTTTGATCATTATTCCTAGAAAAGGCCTTTCTTGAATATTCTTTTGAGTAACATTTTTTAAATTGAGGGTTGTTGAGATGTCTAGACAGGAAAAGGTGTTTACATAAGCCTGCCAACTTGAGTTGGCTTCATAGAATGCATGATAGAACAGGAGAGTCTATTTTACAATTTGTTCTTTGACCTCCATGTGTGTATTATGGCACATGCACCCACACATCACACACCCCCACCATCACATACAAATAATAATAATGTTTTAAGTTTTTTAAAAATTTTAATTTATCATATACACTATGCTAAATTTAACTTCAACTAAAAGAGATACATTGAGCCATTCTGTCACCTCAAGTTTCTCTACTTTATTATTAACTGTTTAATCAATATTGCTGAAAATTATTGGATTTATTCACTTTTGTATGACTGACCAAATTAATATTGCACAGATACATTTTATTTACCCATTCATACACTGGCAGACATTTTGGTTGGTTCCTATCTTGGCTATTGTAAACGATATTCCAGTAAACACAGGGCTGAGGGATACAAAAACGTCAGGAGGGATTAGTTTTAGTGTTCTATAGCATAGTGAGGTAAATTATCTGAAATAAGCTCTGATATGTTTCAAGATAAGTAGATGGGCTCAGAGGTCACATCCTATGTATGAGATTGATGTGTGTATAAGCCGAAGGAAATTCACAAATACACATTGTGAATATCTGTGAAATTCTACTGTTTGCCATAAATATGTACAAATGTGTAAATTAAGGATAAAAAATAATATAGCCCATTTTACATTTCATAGATAATAAGCCAAAAAACCAATATATACCAAGCTTTACATACCTCTGTGAGCTATTTGTGCATAAAATTTCATCAAAGGTTTAGGTTTTTACTGAATATATTTTACTATAGATGACACAACTTCACTGGAGTAGACAACCTTTTTTAAAGTTAAGAGACAGTTTGAGCTTTCCAAATTTGAGCATGAGGCTGTGTATGCCTTTAGTGGGCTGGATGAGGTACATTTTGTGGGGAGACACTGGTCTCCAAATGGGACTTGAGGGGGGCCTGTCAACTACTAGTTGCAGGTGCTGCAGTGGTCTGGGTTCTACTCTGGTCATGTAATCAATTCCTCCTGGATCTCTCAACTCCATTCTCAGTGGCAAAGAAGACCAGGTCAGGGCTTGCTTCCCAGTTATGGTACCATGCCTGCGATGAACTGGTTTAAGTTCTGGCACCTCAGATGAAAACTGCATGTGAAGCCTGACTTATTCATGAATGCAGCTCTGGGATAGATAAGAAAGAGTTCTGGAAAAACTATCAGTAGCATTAGAACAATGGTTCTTAAAGTGATAAGGCCACACAGCATATGGCGTCTGTGTTTAATCACAATCTCAGGACAAGTGACAAAATGACTACCTGTTGATGAATTGGGATTTATTTCTCTCTTGTTACATGTCTGGTGTTAGAGACTGAACTCTGGGATTCAAGAACTTTACATTTACATCTTAGGTAGCCTTTCAATTAGAATTTTATTCTTCATCCTCTTGGGGTACCTAAATTGAGTTTTGTTATAATGAATTTATCTTCTTTAGTCATGACAACTCATTTACATTATGTTATTATGCATGTATGATATTGAGTATGATGTAACATTTAGTATTTATCATCCTAGATATTTACTCTCACGGTATTTATAATTTCTGAATTGTTCGAAATTCTTTGCATGACTACCAGAAAACTTTGTTTTTATACCTTAGCTCTAAGATTTAGAACTATACCTAACTTGTTTTTCACTTACCACATGTTTTAGGTGCTTGGGTACATCATGGCTGGGGAATAGTTAAGGAGCACAACAGTCATTTGATTTGGACCTATGATGCACCACATTTGGGCTACTGGATTGCAGCTCCATTCCCAGGAGCTAGAGGTACTGTAAAAATGAAACGAAGTAATTTTAAAGAATAATGCACATAGCATGCTGGAGTTGATATCAGCTGGCCTCCAGCTTAGGCTAAGCATTGCCATGGGGCAGGTGAACAAAACTAGACAACCCCCCCTTTTATCTTGTACACAACCAAAGGATTAAGCTTCATGAACTCTCTTACTGTCACATCTAGTGAATTTGTGAAGACTGAAGTTTGTTCCAGTATTTTCCTTTCTTTTTTTCAAGACAGGCTTTCTCTGTGTCACAACCCTCCCTAGCTGTTCTTGAACTCACCGATATTCACCTGCCTCTGCCTTGGGAGTGCTAGCATTAAAGGTGTACTTCACCATTTCCTGAGTGTTCCATTATTTTCTAATTTTATGTTTTCATGAATGAATTCTACCCAGAACAGTTAAAGCCTCTGGCTACAAGAAACAGGGACATTATGGTAATTTTATAAAAAGTGAAGAATATAGTTTACAGGATCCTGGGGAAGCCAGACATCTCTGCAACTCAGAGACCTGACCAGAGCTTGGTCAACTCTTCACCAGGTGGCCACCACTGACTCTTATCCTTTCCAGTCTTTCCTCACACAGTGCCTGGTCCTTCTGAGGAGGAAGACTCTGGGGAATGTGAGAGGAAAGACTGTTGAATAATTATGTCTCCAGATTGTTTTGAAAGATCAGATAGATGGTGTACAGGATGATTATTGACCTGACAGTTTGAACAGATGGTGGCTGGAAGCTGGTGGCCACACAAGGATTCTTCACTGGGGATGATCCATGCTGTTCTAACACAAAGTATTTAACATGGCATCAAATTATGTGGGGATCTGAACCTAACAAAACCCCACATTTATCACATACCAGTACATGTATCAAAAATTTAAAAAGTTATTTATTTAAGCTACTAAGTTTTCCTGAATAGAACTGGTCATAACGATGAATACCTTTAGTCCCAGAACTCAGGAGGCAGAGGCAGGCAGATCTCTGAGTTTGAGGCCAGCCTGATCTACATAGAGAGTTCCAGAACAGCCTGAGTTACATAGTAAGACCACATCTCGATAAAGATGAAACAAAACAGCAAATACCAAACAAACAAACAAACAACCCCCCAACAAAAAACAAAACCAAACAAAACACCCCAAAACCTTCCTGAATACAGAAACATCCTTTCACATGCTGGAGACTGGGTGGGTTTTGTCAGCCTGGGTATCACTCTAATTCAAATTGAGTAAGAACCCCATCATTCCATATTTTGCTCCCACATAATTTGAGTTTCCATTATCACAACTTCCTTAAACTATTCCCTTCAAAGTTCACTTTAACGCTTGGAAGCCAGGGCCCCATGTTTTAGAGTTTGGTTTTCTCAGTAGCTCAACAGCCAGGCATTGCTTCTGTAAGCTCAAGCTATTGTGCAGCAATCAACTGTTTTAGGCGCTATGTTACTTATTTACTTTTTAAGTATGTGTGTTTGGGTTGGCTGCTCTGCTTTTGGGCAGACCTGACCAGAGCTTGGTCAACTCTTCACCAGGTGGCCATGGTTCAACTTATGTTTTCTTATTTCAGAACTCAGGTTGAAGGCATAGTGACATTCCGGGACATACTCTTCCCATGTCAGAGTGCCTTAGCAAGACGCCCAAGCCATATCACATGCATTGGTGCCACACTAAAGAAAGAGGCTCTTCCTTTTTAAACCAAAAAGTGTTCCCAAATATGGATTCTGCACTTCTCTCCTGTGTCTTCCGTCTACTTCTAACAAAGGGCTTTGTACTATATTTACTGAATAGCATAGAAAATATGGTATGGGAAGTGAACTAGGAATTTCTTCTCTTATTTTTTTTTTTAACCAGCATTTACAAGGGAAGAATTTACTGGACCCCAAGTAGCACTCAAAACTGCAAATAGATTCATTCAACCTACATCCACCTGTTACTTCTAACATTATGAAAGGTTTCTTTCAGCATACTGACTACTTTCTGAAAAAGAATACCACAATGCATGTATATTACTCTGGGTCAGGGGCATGGAAAAGCCACAAAGGAGAGAGGGGAAAATGATGTGAGATTAAAGCTATGCGTTCAGTTTATTTTGTAGCAGTGAATTAGGTGGGAATTCCAAGGCATAGTGAGGTTACATTGCTTTCTTAAAGGTAAGTTAAAATAAATAGGCTAAACACACAGCAGGGAAACAGATTGAATACATACTTTTAAGTGATCTGAATGCTTGTTATATGAAGTAGGATGCAATATTAGGCAAAATGTTCAGTTTCTGAAGGTAAGTGGTATTTTGAAAAAAGCTATTCCCTTAGTCATGCAACCTCATTTAAAATATTCCAAATTCAATGATCAAAGCAAGTCGGTTGATTAGTCCCACAGGGCATGAAAGTTGTCATTCAACCATGGAAGTTACCACAGTAAGGATGTAAACTAACAGGAGCAGACATACATATTCAGTTTACCTCATCCAGGATAAAACAAATCTAAAAGTCTAACCCCAAATGATACGTTTTTCTGTGTTTACATTGAATCATGCAGGTTCAGGTATAAATGAAGATTCCAAAGACATAACTGCCTACCACACAGTGTTCCTTACAGCCATATTAGGGGGAACAATAGTTATCATCATTGGATTTTTTGCTGTACTGCTTTGTTATTGCAGGTAAGAACAGCACTAATCTATGTGTATAGTCAGAGTTGTCATATTGTAGTATAACTTCAGTATATTGTGTGTACTATAAAGTTCATTAGTAGAAATCATTATTAGGGGCTGGAGAGATGGCTTGGTGGTTAACAACACCTGCTTTTACTGAAACAGCAAGCATGGGGCTCTCAAGGGTCCTTACCACACCCTCTGCATATATGTTACAGCTGTTAGCTTGGTGTTTTTGTGGAACTCCTAACAGTGGAAGTGGGTGTGTCTCTTTCTTTTGCCTACTCTTGGGATTTTTTTTCCTCCATTGGGTTGCCTTGTCTGACCTCTGTATGAGGTCTTTTGTCTTGTCTTATTGTATCTTTTTTTGTTTTGTTTTGTTTTGTTTGGTTGTTGTGTCTTGGAGGCCTGCTCTGTTATGAAGGGAAAGAGAAAGGGAATAATAGATCTGGGGGAAAGGGGAATCGGGAGAAGCTAGGAGGAGTGGAAAGAGGGGAAACTGTGGTGAAGTGTACTGTATGCAAGAAGAATCTATTTTAAAAACAAACAAACAAACGAAAGAAAGAAAACACTTGCTCTTCCAAAGAATCTGAGTTCTGTGCTAGGCCTTTAACTCCAGCTCTAGGAGCTCTGACATGCACATCCATACACATAAGTGAAAAGTTACAAAATACAAAGAATCATTTATCTTTTAATATATGTAGGTTGGAAATCAAAACAAATGCATTCTAGAGGCATCATTATAATTGTATTTGTATGTTTTGGTATACTTTTCTTTGGTGAATATTATAGATTGTAACTTTAAGTATTGCTTTTTCTATTCTAGGGGTAAGTGTGGAACACCACAGAAAAGAGAAAGAAATATCACTAAACTTGAGATCCTCAAGAGAGACCAGACAACATCAACAACACACATAAATCATATCAGTTCAGTCAAAGTTGCATTAAAAGCTGAGGACAAGGCACAGTTATTTAATGCCCAAACCTCATCCTACAGCCCCCAGAAAAAGGAAACCACAAAGATGGAAACAGAAGAAAGAATTTCCATGGTGAAAACTCGGGACAATTTTAAAATCTACAATGAAGATGTTTCCTTTCTGTCAGTCAATCACAATAACTACTCAAGAAATCCAACACAGTCGTTGGAGCCAAGTCTAGGAAGCAAACAACCTAAGCATATTAACAACAACCTCTCTCCGTCGCTAGGTGGCGCTCAAGAGGAAAAGAGGTATCTCACAGGAAGTGAGGAGGTCTATGGGCGGTCTCACATTCCGGAGCAGCTTATGCACATCTACAGCCAGCCCATTGCCATCCTTCAGACGTCAGACCTGTTCTCCACACCAGAGCAGTTACATGCTGCTAAGTCTGCCACTTTGCCACGAAAGGGACAGTTGGTCTATGGCCAATTGATGGAACCAGTAAACAGAGAGAACTTTACACAAACATTGCCCAAAATGCCAATGCATTCTCACGTCCAGGCCCCAGATGCCAGAGAAGAGGACATTGTACTTGAAGGTCAGCAGAGCTTGCCATCCCAGACTTCAGATTGGAGCCGCTATTCCAACAGCTTGTTGGAGTCCGTGTCTGTTCCCGGAACCCTAAACGAAGCTGTTGTGATGACTCCTTTTTCATCAGAACTCCAAGGCATTTCTGAGCAGACCCTCCTAGAGTTGTCCAAAGGCAAACCCTCTCCCCATCCCAGGGCGTGGTTTGTGTCTCTTGATGGAAAGCCTGTGGCACAAGTGAGACACTCCTTTATAGACCTTAAAAAAGGCAAGAGAACCCAGAGCAATGATACAAGTCTAGACTCTGGGGTGGATATGAATGAGCACCATTCAAGTAGAAAGCTGGAGAGGGAGAAAACATTCATCAAAAGCATGCATCAGCCCAAGATCCTTTACCTGGAAGATTTAGACCTGAGCAGCAGTGAGAGCGGCACCACGGTCTGCTCCCCCGAGGATCCTGCATTGAGGCACATCTTAGATGGAGGCAGCGGAGTTATTATAGAACACCCCGGGGAAGAGTCTCCAGGAAGGAAAAGCACTGTGGAAGATTTTGAAGCCAACACATCTCCCACTAAAAAAAGAGGCCGACCACCACCACTAGCCAAAAGAGATAGCAAGACTAACATCTGGAAGAAACGGGAGGAACGTCCACTGATTCCCATAAACTAATTGTGAGAGCCATGTATCTCTGTCGTTTCATGGTGTGTATTCTTGCTTCTTGTAAATTGCAGTATGAACTTCTTGGGAAGCTGAGACCCAGCAGTCTCACGGGTCTTAAACACATCTCAAGCAAAGTAGATGGTAAAATAATAATTCAAAAACTAGAAATGCTTTCCGTGGCCTGTTCTTTTCATCTGCTTTTGAGTGATGAAGATATCCAAGTTTTCAAAATGTAAAATAATGTAAAGATGTTATCTGAAAATGTTGCTCAGTTTTCCAATTGTACTGACTCTTAAGAATCCAACAGTGAAATGTGTGCTACAACTGCCTCTGCCTTGGTCTCATGAAACATAAAGGCAGGTGTCTTCTTCCGGCCTCATCCTCCTGCAGTGTGACTGTGATGTCTTTTCCTGCCTATGCTTTAAAAACAACTTGACAGATGTTTGGGTGGATGTTAAAGACCAAATGACACTTTCTTTCTTAAGATTGATGGCTTGTGGATTGTCAGCACCATAGTAAATCCTGTGCCCCTATAATACAGGCAGGAAGCCCCTGGTTCACTAGAGGAGAACCAATTCTGGTTATTTGGGGATATAGGTTTATAGATATTATGTAGACATTTGAAAAATGAAAACTCTAATATTGTCTTTTTATTTTCAAATGAAGTGACCTTAGTTGCCAGGTGAGAGGAGGCTCTGGTTTGCTTTAAGGCTCACTATCCATATAGGCTAAAGTCTATTTTTAATACTCTTTTGTTATAACCCCAATTAAACTTAATTAAAAATACAGCAATTTTTTGTGAAGGCCAAAAAATGAATAGACTATGTAGATAAAAAAATGAATATTCCATGTAATTTGGCAGGAGAGGAAAGGCCATTTTGATATTAAAAAATCTCCAGGGTATGAGTTACATGTCTTCATATTGACTCTTTTAGATGATGGAGGAAAGCATTCTGGGTTTCAAGAGAGAGCTTTCATTGTCTCCTGTGCCCATACAGCCTCACTTGTCAGTTTCAGGCATTTATCCCTGTCCTTCCCTCAGTGTGAACTCAGAAGCTGTTTTCAGTTATGTGTCCTCAACTCTTGTAAAATAAAATCTCTTTGATCCAATCAACCCATCCTGTTCTACCTAAAATTTTTCACAAGGACACCTTTGTGCAGTAGCTCTCCCTTTCCTTTTGATGGGCAGAAATGGTTCTTCTTTTCACCCTCTACTATTCAATACATGGGCAGCAGAGGAGAATCAAGCCACCTAAACAAGCTTAAGGAAACTATGACACCCTAACTTTGTAAAATTGTAGATAGTTGTATGATGGAAGACAACAGTACCCTACCCCAAGACAGTAGACTTCAGCCAGATTTTCCTGCAATCTCTTCTGAAATATCTTACCTGTTGGAACTCTCCTGGCTTTGTGAATTTAACCCAAAGAATGCAAAGACCTTTGCCTATGTTTCTTGTGTATTACTCCTCTTTATATGTGTTTGGGTAACACATAGGCTTGCTATTGGGGGTAGAGTGACAAGGCTCACATTTAGAGGGGGGGGCTCTTTATTGGCCTCACACAGAAATAGATCATAAATAGCATGGAATGACTTGGAGAAGTTTAAGGAGTTAGTGCTCTGTGGAAGTGCCTTTGACTCGGACTTGCATTAGGAGGATAAACAACATCTTTCTTCAGTGTACATTTTGTTAGCCAAATTAAACAGATGTGCGGTTATTAAAAACTATATAGCCCTAGTGTTTCACGTTGGAACAATGGATTTTGCATGTTACATTTTCTTTTGTGTGCTGTTTTTTGAATCCACAATACATTGATAAATCGGAATGAGGCTAGGAGCTATATAAGAAAGTGCTGCACCTCCGTAACACTTTAAGTGTATATCTTCGCCTTTAAAAAGGTTTTGTATCTCAACTGGGCAATGAAATACACATATAAACATGTGAGTATATTGCCCAAGTATGCCAGTGACTTCACTCATTTTTGTCTAAGGGAAATGAGATGATGTATCCTAAGGGCTTTTGTAGAACTTTAATTTCACAAAATAATTTTTTTTCAAAAAGAGCACTGTGTGTGCTGTTTTTGATTGGGAATTTTAGGCAATTTATCTTTTCTAATCAGAAGAATGTGACTTCTCATTTGTGAGCTGTTCACAGTTTCCTTTCAAAAAGCCTAAGCCATCTACTTTTTTTTAACCCAAGTGAGAAGCTAACACTATTCACTACTTTCTTAAATTTTTAAATTGAAAGCCAGTGCAGAATTTTGCATATGTAAACTAGAGAATTTTGGTTACAAATTGCTGAAATTTGTGGAGCCTTTGTATATAGTTTGGGTATATCTCGAAGGCAAAGCTATCAATTAACCAATGGATCCATTTACTAAAGCACAGCTATGTGCAGTTTTGAATAATATGACCTTGAAACTTTCTAAAAATCCATTTTTATGAATTTCTGCTGTTGAATAGGGATCATGTCCTTTTATAGTTTGCAGCATGCCACAAAAATCACAAATACTGAGGAATAAGAGCCCTGCTTTGCTTTGGTAATTGCTGTCAGGCTACTTTCTATATATTTGGAAACTCTGCTATCCATATATATTATAGGGTTTTAGAGATCTGGGGGTCAAATATTGTCCTTCCAAACTTCCCAGAAAGGTGAAGCTCAAAACTACATATTAATTTCTATGGCTTGAGTTACTCATTGTTGTGTGCTGACATCACAGACAGACCTGACTTGGTTTCCACTTCAGATCTAGAGTTGACGTCTTGCCCTCATGTCCTCAGGTGTTTTTTTTTCCTCCTCCTCCTCCTCCTCCTCCTCCTCTCCTCCTCCTCCTCTTCCTCCTCCTCCTCCCCCTCCTCCTACTCCTCTTCTTCATATTCTTTCATCAGAGAAATCTCATGTTTTTGGTATATTTATTGATGTTACTGTATTTCTTGAACAGTCTGAAGATTTGTAAAATGTTACAAACAGTTCTTTAAGGATAATAAAAAAATCAATCTGAATATATACTTGTTTCAGTGTTTAATTTGAAGTAACAAGCAAAATCTCCCTATGTTATATTTTGTCTAGTAAATAATCATAACTTTTTATTCATTATGTTCCAAGGTAAAATTAATCCCATATATATGATGAACTTGATAATTATTTTTAGGTCTCCAGAGTTCTCAGTTTTACTATTGAAGCTGAGAATAGACAACTAGTTTTCCATTGAATGGGATTCATTAATCTCATGGTCATTTTAAATTTATATTTTAAATTCTAAGTGAAAAAATGATATAAAGCCCCCATACCTCTTTTCAAGACACTCTTTGGGCTTCTGACCTAAGATGTGATGAGGAAAAGGATCTTCACACTCTGCTCTCCAAAGTCCTCGCTCAGCCAGTTGAACACTACTTAGGTTCAGACAGGAGGTAGTCAGGGGCTTTAGAATAGTTTTTGGGAATTATCCTGGATGCCATATTTTTAGACCTCCCCAATACCTTTTATGCATCATGTGACCAGACATACTTTTAGGTAGATCTATTGGGTGGTGGACTCTGAAGCCACTTGGCATACAATATTGCAGACACACTGACTCCACTGGCACTGTGCTGGAACCTTCCACCTGGGGTCCTGCATGTTTTAGCAGAGTGTGGCTGCCTTTGTGTCAGGGCATGGGCCTGAAGGCTGTCGGATTCAAAGAAATGATGTGGCTAAGTCATGACCAGAAGTATAGCAATGCCAAAGCAATGTGATACAGCAGCTGGTCAAGACACTAGGATCTCAGAAGTAAAAATTGTATGGGAAGAATGATGGAACTGTAAAGAGCTGCAGAAAAAGAAGTTAGGTAGAGACAGGGATATTTCAATGTTGTGGAAAGTAATTCTCCCATATACTTATTAGTTGGAACAGACAACCAGGGCCCTGCCCCTTCGACTACATATTGGAAAACATGAAACTAGGCCTCAGTGTTGCTTTACCTTGGCTCCAAAATTAGCACCTTTAAGAGAGTCCTTTGTCAGGATACACAGCAAGATAGCTTACTTTCAGGAGTGCACTGTCACACCAAGGGAAGGGTAGGGGAAACATCTTTACTGTATACATGAGACTTGGATTTCCTCTCCACCAAAATGAAGATTCTTTTTTCCCTTGATATTTTTATCTTTATTGAATTTAGATTCTTAAAGACATCTTTATGGTTAAGTGCCAGAAAGGTAGCCAAGAATTCAGTAATAGTTTACAATGCTAAATGTAAAATATTTTGGTAATATATGCCATTAATAAAAATTCATTAACATACATGCATAGAAAATGTCTGGGAGGGGGAATAACTTTCCTTCCTGAAATAGCTATGTTTAATGATCACATTTTTACTGCCTGTAATACTTCAAAATATTGCAATGGCATGTCTCTCTTCTTTGCCAGCTATAGCAAATGATGAAGTATCTGCTGATGGAAATTTTCTTAGTTGAAAACCTGCCTTTCCTGGTCTTTATAGCTAAAGTGGGTGTCTTGCTACATAATATTTAATAACTTTGTAGGGAAAGCCTAATTTTTTTCTTGAGTTGGCTCTTTTCCTTCTTTTGTTTGGGTTGTCAGTTGGTTTCATAACTCATGTGTTCACTGTTTCTAATCCTTGTAGACCTTATTAAAATACTAGAGTAACTACAGACAGTGATTCAAAACAAACCAGATAATTACAGCCCCAGGAGTCCCTCAGCTTGTTATACATTGATGACTTCATTAAAAACATTTCAAAACTATGGCACTGAGAGGACAATTGTGCCTACCAGAAAAGGTGAAAGAGCATCTTAGAAGACTTTTATTTTATATTTCCATCTTAGCTTGGAAAATATATCTTTGTCATATACAAAAGTGCTTGTTAAAAAGTTATACTCAAATTCATCCCTACTAATTAGCACTTTGTATTAAGAGGATTTTTAAACCTTATTTTCTAACTTAGATAATCTCTACAATAGTTGTATTCATTAAATAGAAAAAAATTTAATTGTTAATGTGGACCTCTACA